TCTCTCAATAATGACTCAGCCTGGCCAGCTGAGATCAACAGCTCATCCTCCTCCTGAGAAAAAATCAACCGCCTATTGGCACAATCTATTAGAATGTGATTTGCAGACAACCAATCCATTCCCAAGATTATGTCAATATCCACCAAAGGTAAACAAATCAGGTTCACCTTGTACTTCTTCTCATTCACCACAACCGGGCAACCCACACACAATTCAGAAGCAATCACAGAAGCAGAAGCGGGCGTAGACACTAGCAGTCTCAACCCCAAATCACACACAGGTACACCCAACACAGCAGCACATGCATAAGATATAAAGGAATGCGAAGCACCAGAATCAAACAAAATCATCACGTCCTTACCAGCAGCTTTGCCCTTCCCCTTCACAAGGTCAGAAGAAGTCGAAGCCTCAGCACCTGTCAAAGCAAACACCCTACCAACAGTAGTGGGTCTATCACCCCTCTGAGTATCAACTCTCTGTGCACTACTCCTCTGAGTCTCAGCCCTCTGCCCATCACTCCTCTGAGTGCTCCTCTCAGGTCTACTCCTAGTGGGACAGTTGGACGACTCGTGGCCCATCTGATGACATCGAAAATAGCAGCTCTCCGTGTGTGGATAGTCCTTGACAAAGTGGGGTCCGGCACACCTGTAACATCTCAGAGCGGCACCTCCACTCTGTCTACCTCCACTAGCAGCACTGGAAGATTGCCGAGCAACAGAACCCCCTTGCTGTGACTGGGGCCTGTCATATGGCTTCCTCTGACTCTCACCCTTCTTAGACCCACATGGCCCCCCAGCAATTCTCATAGCACGGTTACCACCTTCCAACCGCTCCACCACCTTTGCCTTCTCCACTAAGGCCGGGAACTCAGTGATAGCCATAGGCACCACCACCCTCCTCAACTCATATCTCAACCCATCAGCAAATTTCTGGCATTTTCAGGCCTCAACTATACCTTGCGAATAAAAACGAGCCCAGATACTCGAATTTCATCGCATATTCCGAAACCGTCATCCCTCCCTGGTGTAACCTCATAAACTCAGCCTCCTTAGCGTGTCTCACACTTTCAGGGAAGTACTTCTCCATGAACACTGTCCTGAAGCACTCCCAATCAACTGTGACTCCTCTAGCGGCAAGCATCTGATAGGTGTCTCTCCACCAATGTTCAGCCTCCCCAACAAGCATATACACAGCATATGCTAACCTCCTCCACGGGTCCGACGGAGACTCCCCACCAGACACCTACCTATCCCTGCTCTGCTCCCATACATAGTATGATCATCACAGTCCAACACCATGGAGACAACCAAAGGGTAAGCTAGTGTAATTAAAAATCAACATGCAAATATATATATATATATATATAGCAAATAATAACAACAGATACAGTTATCAGCACATCGGACAGCTTATACCACTCAACAATATCAGCACCGCAATGCGGCAATACCAGCACTGCTTAGCAGCAACAACAACACCGCTCAAGTGGCTATAACGACACCGCAAAGCGGCAACAACAGCACTGACTTAGCGGTTATAACAGCACCACATATGTGGCTAATAACAGCACCGACTCAGCGACTATAATATCACACAACTCAGCACAGCACAGCATATCACAGCACGTCAATTCAACACCTTCATTGTTTCCCACAATTCAGCCCAACCTTCTATAGTTCCGCTATAATATAAAAGTTTGCATATTAAATTCATCGATTTCAGCTTAACAATACACCTCTAGTACGGCTAACATTATTATCTCAGCTTTATCCCATAGCCAACACAACATATTCATCAAATACAATATGAAAATTTTTATATTAAATAAATTTCTTAAATTGTAATCAATATATAATTATATATATTAATAACTAGTTTTAAAATGTTAATTAACATCATTATTTTATCTTAAATATAATATACGTATAACACTCAATTGAATATATACTTAAATAATTTATTACCTTATCATATTAACTAAATTTATTATTCTAAAAAATTTGAAATTTTACATCATTATATAAATTATTATAAAAAATTTGATAATTATTGGCAATTTATTTTTACGATTTTAATAAATTGCTAAAAAATATTATAATTTTGTGGAATATTTTAATCATCACAAAATTTTGTGACGGTTTTAAATCGTGTTTAAGATTACATTTTTGATCTTTAACCAATTTTTCATGTGAGTGATTAATTTAATTAAAAATAATTTTATTTTTATTAAAAGAATAAAAACAATTTTATTTAGAACTTTTATTCAAAATAATAATAAAAACTTGGGGTGAATTTGTGTTGTGTTATACGATCTATTCAAAATGTCCTCAGTCCTCAACGTTTGAAATGGAGAACCTCAGCTAAGAAGAAGAACTCGGAAGTGAGCAACTTAGAAGCACCACCTTCCAACGCTTAAAGTCATTCTCCTTGCACCTTCTCGACCTTTTGCAGAGCCTTCACATTGAGAATCAGAAGCATTGTTTTGTCACTGTACTCCCTCAACCTCAACTCCTTCGTTTCCTTCGCAATTCTTCTCCCTCTACTTTTCAACCTTTCTTCGAGTAAGTAAAGTCTTCCTATCACTACTTTACACTTTTTACAAACCCTAATGTAAAACAATTTATAATCGATTCCAAGTTTTTAATTCACTTGTCCAATTTGATTTGAATAATAAGCAGAAAGGAAGGTACAACGCGCCGATTCAACAATATTTCCCCTTCTTTTCTCATGCGAATTTTAATATTAAAATTGTAACATGTAATTTTTGTTTTCCAGCTACACTCTGTTTCGTTGCTTCTGCTCCTCGATGGAGCTATTCAGTGCAGAAAGAACAACATAGAAACTTGAATCTAAGGAAAAGTGTACTATGCTTGATGTTCCAAAATCACCTATTCAAGTGAGTGATGGCATTGCTGAAAGTGTGGTTAATTGTTTGGAGGAGCTTCCGAGGAAGTGTCATTTGAGTTCTGTTGATCAGGTGTGCTGATTGATATATATATATATATATATATATATGCATATGCGTTTTGACATTTGCTCTGGATTTTGTGCAAATTGTGAAGTATTACTTTGGAATTTTAGTTGCTTGTTGTTTAGTAGTTGAGTAAAATAAAACTCGCATTGTTAAATGTGCTGGATGAGTTGAGTTGAGAACTATGCTGCTTTCATCACTAGGGAATGATAATGAATCAAAGAAACATAAGGAACAAAAAGAATCTAGGGACTTGTGGATTTGGGGAGATTGATATGAATATGCAAAAACATTAGATTACCTGAAGTAGTGTGGCATCTAAATATGCTTTTAGTGTAAAACATAGAACAAATGTAGACATATTGTGCAATATTATTTGATGCAATTATACTCAGTTAGCTTGTGTTCATTTTGCCTACCTTTGGTTTCAGCTCATGGTTTGTAATTGTTTAGCTCATCCATTATAAGTGTTCTTTAATGTAATTGGATTATATGTTGATTGAAGACAACACTTTAAGCTCGCTTTCCCCTTGATAATTTGGTGTCCAGTGAATTAGTTTTGACGGGAAAGTGCCATAACAATTTGTCTCTGAATATGTGGTGGCTTGGAACGGTGTTTGTTAAGTTTTATTTTTTATTTTTCTATTATGGCACATTTTTTTTAGCCAAAGTGAATTACTAGTGCCTTGTTGACATATATATGCACCATGGCTGTATTAACTCATGGATGCTATAAAGTACAGTGCCTTGTTGACACGTATATGCAGCATGGCTGTATTAACTCATGGATTCTATAGAGTACATATCCCTCTCTAGACTTGATCAGCTGTTTAGACAGAGTTTTGTTTGCTACGAAATAAAAACAAATATACTAAACTATGATTTTCTTTAACAGATGGTTGTGCTGCTAAAAAAGTTAACATACAGAGTCATGTTATCACCCACCGAGGCTTCAGAGGAGTTTCGTGAAGGGATTTTATTTTGTGTCAAGGCACTACTTTTGAGTTTATATCCCTGTTTTAAAGTGTCTTGCTTGTGTAAAAAAGTATGTGGTTTACCAGAACTTTCGGATGGCATTTATAATGATAGGCTTCATAAAACTTTCAAGTATGGATTGTAATCAGAAGAATGTTTACTTGCATTTCTCCAGTCTCAATTTGCGTCAGCTGCTGTTGGACACTAGCTATCACTTCTTCTCAAAGTATGTTGTTGAATTTCTTGTAGAAATTCCAATTCAGTTATGTTTTTATTTATTTTTTGGGTGGGTGTGTGGTTGAGGGAGGGGGTGACTGATTCTTAATCACATTTTATAACAGAATAACCATATTTTATTTGAAGTATATCGGCACATTCTATTATAGCAAAAGATAACTTCAAGTAATCAAGATAGATCTTCCTATTAAATGAGACCTAAATGGAATTCCCCTTTATTTCTTTTTTGTAAGTTGGTTATGACATTATATAAATTTATAATAAAAATATGGTCTTATGATAACACTGCAGATATAGAGGCAGCTAGGGGACCAAGGTTCCACAAGAATTCAAATTGAAGCATTCAAAACTGAGGGTGCTTGTTGCTAAGGTAATGTTAACAGTTAGGAGCTATTTACTTTGAGAAAGTGTTTTTTGCTTTCATATTTTGTTTTCACAATGAAACAAGAAACAAATTGAAAACAAGATGACAAATATTTTAATTAAAAGTGAAAACAGAAAATATAAACAATAAATGAGAAATAGATGTAAAACCTGCCTATTCTTTTTTAGGGAGTTTTTGAAAAGGAAAGAGAAGTATTTATAGAGCTGTAATGGTTAATGTATGAGTAGAAAGGAAGTTAAGAAATCTTCTCGAGAAAAGATAAAAAAAAAAAAAAGGAATAAAAAAATCACAAAATGTTCATCCAGGCAATAAAATTCTCATCTCCCTGTGTGTTTGATTGAAGTTTTCTAAAAACAAGCCATGGGAAGAGATCCAAAGGTAAAAAAGCTTTTTCTTTCCTGTTACAACTATCAAATTAAGGATTGAAATCTAAGCATTGGAATTTGAGGGTTGAATTTTTTTTAAATCAAATTAAGCATGATTCTTCTATATAAAGCAAGGTTGTGTTAGTTGTTTTTATGCATATCTCATAAAGGAGCAGAACACTAAATTAGAGAAGAATGTGATTATCAATGGTTCTTTTATATAAAACAAGTTTACCTTGGTTGTTATAATTTTACCTTTGTTATTTCTAATAATGATTGCTTAAACTTAGTAGCTATAATTTAGGCTATTACATGTAATTCTTTCCTCAAATTCGTCCTATTTGCCCACTTATATATTCCTCATCAAAATGATAGTATTAATCTCTATGTGCATTCCATTGGGTACTTTTTAGTAGTGTAATAGTGTGGTCCCTTCAGGAAAATGGTTTGTTTTTAATCATTTCCTCTCTGTTTTTGATTTGATTTGTTATTTAAGAGTTATTTGAATTAAATAACAATATAATATAGTTATTATTAATTTTAAATGATTAATATAATTAATGATAATTTTAAATAATAATTTGATAAATATCTAAAATATATATTATTATTTAAGAACATGCTTTTAAAATAATTTCAAATATATCATTAATGTAATATAGAATGAAATTCATTTTTTTTGCAATTTAAAACTGTCAGTGAGACAAGTAAAAAAAGTCTATTTTTTTTACGATTTAAAACCACTAGAAAATATAAAATAAGTTAAAGAAAAACGCGGAATGTTGAGTTAGACAAAATTAAAATGTATTTTGTGATGGTTTAAAATCGTAAAAAAATGTTTAAAGGCAAAATTAAAATGCATTTTGTGACGGTTTTAAACCGTGAAAAAGTAATTGATTTTTTGACACCCAACACTAACATTTATAAAATATTTGTCACAAGTTGTTTTTGGCAACCATGAAACTGACGGTTATTAATGATGTTGGAAATATGATTTGTAGTGATTTTTAATTGCTTGAAACTGTTAAAATAACCACCACAAATCAAATATTTTTTAAGTGAATATTAGGTGTTTTGCAATTATAAACTCAACCTAATTCATTTTCTTTGATTTAACTATAAATATAAGCTGCATAGGATTCTTGTATATAATTCTTCCTCTAATTCATGATATTATTAAACTAGGGGAAAAGCTGATTGGGAAAGTTGAGATAAAAAGCACTAATACAGTTGTCACAGTCCACTAATTTCTTGAAACTTCTCTAAATGCAGTGGCACAACCTTTTTCTTTTTAGTAATCCTATTGAGTGGTGCTACTTTCACTATATACTCCAAATTCATTGAAAATGTACAAGTCTACACCTGAACAATACAAAATAACTACTTTTGACTATATCTCAATAATAATTCTCAAACATTTTAATTTCAAATGTAAACACGGCCATTGATGCAATTTTGGCTATCAATTATGTGTAAACAACAACATTTTGTTCACTAATACAATTGGTTTTTGTGTTCCTGGCAGATACTATAAAAAACAATAAGAAAATAAAAGAAACTCGACATTAAATGAAAGTAAAAGCAGCGTTCTTTTTTTTTTAATCTTTTTTTTTCTATTTAATCTTTACCAATTAAAACGTGTGGTGTAGCAGAATTATTATGAAAGTTTAGTACTGAAAATTGTTTGTAACATAACGTGGCATGTGAAATTAGTGGTTTGTTTTTCTTAATCAAGTTGTTCGGATTCGAATCTCAACCTTGGACATTAAAAAAATTATATCAAGTGAGGAATACACACCTTGTATGTGTTTATGGTCTTTAACAGAGGTTAGTTATTACTTTTTGACAAGAGATATTTTGTACCAATATCATAGAAAGATGTGTGTAACTAGGCCTTTGTTTATGTACGGAAGAACTCCAAGTACTCTATCAATGCCACCACCAGATGGTCCATATTCAGGTAATATTGTGATCACAGATGAGGAAGCAGAAGCAGAATTTGTAATCCATAAATAATTATGATAAATAAAAATTAAATTAGATAAAATTTTTAAAACATCTTTATAAACATTCTTGTCGAAGAAAAACTCTTAAAAATATTATCATATAAGATAGAGATTTGTGTTTAATATATAATCTTAACAAAATTTAAATTCTTTCATACATTATAAATAAAAAATAAAACATAATTATGCTAAGGAGCATCCATTAAAAGCAATTGATTATAAATAAAATTAATAAATATTTTACATCAATAACATAATAATTAAAAAAAAATGTGACAATAAAATGAGTTTTTGTTGAATATTTATGTAAAGGTTTTATTTTGACTTTACATATAAATCAAATTATTTTCATAGTGTTTAGTTAAATGAAAGTGAAGGAGAGAGGAGAAAATTTTTAAAATTTTTTATTATTTGATTCAATTTTTAGAAGAGTAGACAGAGAGCAAAACAATTAAAATAATTTAAAATCTCTCTACTTCCCTTCCCTCCAAATCTCCTAATATTATAAGAGAGTTAAAATTATATTAGGAGAGGTTTTGCTCCCTTTTATCTCTCTTCTCTCTCTTAAAAATTTAACTAAACATAAAAGTTATAAAAATTTCTCTCCTCATCTACATTTCTCCTCAATTAAACACTATATAAAGATTAAATAGTTACCCCCTCCCTCCTCATATAAATCAAATCAGAAATAAGTTATTACCTCCCCTTCTCTTCATTAAAATATATCATTTTCTCTACTTTTAACCAAACAAAGTTTGTAATCGCTCATCCCCGAAATCGAAATCCCCCATTTTCAAAATATATATTTTACTTTATTGTCAAATACTTCAATTCTCTCTATAGTGCCGTATCAAGTATTATGAGTGTTTATTTACACCCCTTTCCCCAAAAAAGAGTATTAGGAGTATTTATAATGATATAAATAAACAATTTGGATTAAAAATTATTTAATAAATACATGATTACTTATAAAAGTCACGTGATTTTGTGATTTAATATTAACTATACATATGATAAATTAATTATTTTCTAAAACTATAAATAAAACTAAGATGATTTAATAAATAATTGTTTAATAAACAATGATTTTCACAAAAATATTTATCAATTTTACACGTAAGAGTGATTTTCTTTGCTGATGATTAAGTATATTCCACCTGAGGTATACCCTTTTTGAGGCTTGTAAAAAATTAAGATCTTCCAGTTGAACAACATTCTTCTCCATAAACATTATTCAGTCAAACAAAAGAAAAACGGTTTCTTTTTGAAAGGATATGCAAGCTTTGCATTATTCTTAGCTTATTGGTGTAGCCTAATGGTCCTCATGATTCCATTGTATGCAGGTTTTCTATGTACCCTTTGATGGAAAAAGTCTAACATAATAACAAAAACTCTTACAAAGAGTAATAATGCTGTGGAAATTAAATCTTCCTACGTGTAAGAATCTGTGAGGAGCATCAACAAAATACAACAAAAAGTAGATAATCCAAACATACAAGAAACACAAATATTTTTAATGTGAAAAATCCGTTAATGTTAAGATAAAAATCATGAGTTGTCTAAACAAAAAAAAAAACTCTACTATAATCAATAAAGGATACAAGATAGTCTCCAAATAAGGCATCAAATAGTGTTTATAACCAGTCAAAGTAAAATCGAGCACAATTACTTACAATTGAGAAGCAAGAAAATAGAAAAGTCCCAAAAGAAAGCTATTACTGCAAGACGCTTTTTTGTGAGATGCTTTTCTCTCACTCCAGACTTCTTTTTAATGATCCAACTATTGAATATAAAATGTCGCGTCTTATGAACCTACTATCCAAAAATCAATCTGATCCAACAATAAATGAATCTCCAATTGTAATTCAACAAATGTTATCCGGTAGATATGCAATCTGTAATTTTCTCTCATCTCTTCTCTCTATATTTTGCTGTTGTTTTCTCAAATTAAGTTACTCTTACTCTATCTTAATTTGACTCCTCTTCACTTGGTTAAGTGAGATATAATAGACTTACACAAATTGAGCCTATTCTCCATAGAGGAGGAGAGTCCAAAACCCAACACCCTTTTGGCTTTTCCACTTTCCACAAGGTTGAAGCTTGCACTTAGATATAAAAGAGACAAATGTTTTGCGTCGTCCAAGGAAATAAAACTTCATGCATTTCAACTTATTCATCCATATCATTTTAATTCTATCTATTTATAATATAAATTTTGAGCTTATTCATCCATATCATTTTAATTCCATCTATTTATAATATAAATTTTGAGCTGTGAAATAACATGTTGCCACATCAATATATTATTTATTGTCACATTAGTGATTTTTTTTGTCAATTTCTATGCAATGTTTTATTAATTACATCTCTTTTTTATAAATTATTCTACTCAATCTATCTTTCATTCTAAATTTAAATTTAAAATAACTTATTCAATCATTTATCCTCATATTATTCAATACAAGTTTCACATTGCAACCATTATAAGAAATTGAAAGTGGTATTGTCATTTCCAACTACAACCATCATAGGGAATGAAGGGTGATATTTTTTCTTCTTTTTTTTACTCTTAATTTTTTCCTTGTGCATAATTTAAGATTGGATAATCCATTTGCAAGGGAAGGAGAATCAAGGGATGAGAATTGCTAAAACAATCAAATTTAGAAAACATAAAAATGAATTGACTAAAGAGTACGATAGAATGATTACTCAAATCTTCTGATATCATATATAGCATTGAAATTATGTTTTTTGAGATTTTTTTGGGTTAGATAAATTCCTATACCCATTTCACATTGGAATCATCGTAGGAAATCTAAAGTGATACTTTTTCTTTTCTACTTTTCACTCTTAGATATCTTTTCTTATACATAATTTGAAATTTGACAGTCCATTTTGTAAGGAAAAGAGAATCATGTGAGAAACATTGACGCAATCAAATTTGGGATACATAAATATGAATTGACTTAAGAATAAGACAATTTAATTACACAAATCTTTTGCTAATAATATAATGAAATTATTTATTATTTAATTTTTTTAATATTAAACAAATTTCTTAAATAATGATCAATATATAATTATATATAATAATAACTAATTTTCAAATGTTAATCAACATCATTATTTTATCTTAAATATAATATACATATAACAGTCAATTCGATATATATTTAAATAATTTATTACCTTATCATATTAACTAAACTTATTATTCTAAAACTCAACCTACTTCACTTTCTTTGTTTTTTAAAAAAATAATACAACAATTTAAAATTGAATATTAATTTTTTCAAAATCTGAAAACAAATTAGGGTGATTGAATTTTAAAGTTTGATCTGTTTGATCATAAAATATTTTTATAACACATTTTAGTCAAAACTTTTTGTTTTTGACAAAGGTTCCAATTGAAACTTTTCTTTATTTAAATTATATTATTAATTATTAAGGTTATAATCATATTTTATAAATTTGACACCATATAACAACGTTTATTTGAGTAATTTTCACAATTTTCTTAATTCATAAATACATAATAAATATTTTACAGTCATTTTATTATATAATTTTATAAATTATATTTTTATTAATTTTAATTTCTCTAAAATATATCATATCTATTTTTTTTTTATAGATGGGGCATCATGTGATAAATATCTCGTTAATAATAGTTTATAAGTTTACAAAATAGTTTCATCAAGAGTTCAAGACACATTTTTTTAGTCCAAATATTCTTCGTAAGTCCTAATACTGATCTAATAATGATGAAAACAATATGGACTGTATTGAAAAAAAGGTGATGGATATACTCCAAGTCATTATTAACAATAAAATATAATTTATACAGTAATGAAAGCACAACTGATACTTGATTTTGGTTAAAAAAATAAATAATAACAATAACATAAAAGAATGGTGAAAATGTAGAAAACAACTACTATGTACTTCTAAAAAGCATTGCATAATTACTTCTGTAAACTTTAGAAAACACTTTCAGAGCAATAGTAGGTTGTGTATTAACATAAGCCCACATTAGAAGTCTAAGTGGGTAACTATAGATGCACACTGGAACCGACTCAAACCTTAAATTGATTCAACCAGTTTTAGATTAAATTTTTTAAGTATTCAACTCAAATCGAACCTGAACTATTCAAAATAAAATTTGTATTTTTAACTCGTAAAAATGAATGTTTTGATCAGATTTGATTATATATAATAATATATTAATATTTAAATGATCATTTGATATAATATATATTATCATTCTTATTTAATTGTAAATTTTATATTTTAAATTAATAAAATGATAATAATATAATATATTATTTTAAAATAATGTTGGTTGGTTAAATTAGTATTAAGGTCATAAATCAATAAACTTATTTAAAATTTAGTTTGTATCATTATTTATTTTATAAATTAATTAAATTATATTTATAATAAAACATTAAATAATTTATATTTAAATAAAAATATTTTAAATTTAAAAAATAAATAAATTTAATTACATTAATTTAATTCAACCCAATTCATTTATGATAAAATTAAGTTAGGTTAAATTTTTTAAAAAAATATAAACTCAATTTAATTTAACTCATTAAATTTAATTGAATCAAACAATAAATTCATCCAAATTTATTTCAGCAGCCTAGGATTCTTGCTACTTTAAAGTGTGGGTGCAGTGTAACTTTTGTTTCAATTAGTGGTTGATTGCATTAAATTTCAACGTGAGAAACGTGCAACTTTTGTTGCAATAATACATCTCCGTGTGGGTTCCACGATGACTTACCAAGTCTACGCAAAAAGTCTCTCTACTTTTTATCTTTCTTTTCTCTCTCTCACTTTCATCATATCAGTGCTTTGCCATTTCTGAAGTACACAACAACCTATCTTCTTTTACACATGGTGTCATCAATGCAATGTCTCGAACGTGTTAGAAATCATTTCTTTACATAGAAGTGTCATCAATCTTATGTTTCAAACATGTTAGGAATCATTATTTTACGCAATAGGATCATCAATGCTTTATTAAAAGGGCGTAAAGTATCATCAATGCTTTATTAAAAGGGGTTAGGAATCCAATGTTAATCTTATTTGTAACCCTAACCCTAACCTTAGCCTAACTATAACCATACCCTTATCCTAAACTAAAAAATCAACGGTAAATCCTAACCAATGTTCTACTTTGAAGACGATAGATATTTTATTTTTTTTTGAATATTTTTACTGAAATCAACTTATTTCAATAGTTTTCATATCAATAAATTTAATGGTACAAGTTTCACATGTCATAAATATATGTAACTCAGAAAAAGTTAGTCTTAAACTGAAAAAAATCAACTGTACCACTTTGGAAATGATATTTTATGTATTTTTTTTTTTTGAATTTTTTACTAAAACCAACTTATTTCAATAGTTTTCATAGATTCCAATGGTACAAGTTTCACAAGTCATAAATATATGTAAATCATAGAAAAATATGTCCAAACTAAAGAAAATTAATTGTAAACCCTCAGGTGCACATTATGCTAGTAGAGCATTGATTTCATGTGGGTCCAACCATTGTTAACGATAGTGACATGTCGATCACATCTTCAGAGCATTGATTTTCTGTGGGGCCCATGCTTCAGGAATCCAATGCTACTTGGTCCTCCTCTTTCTTCTCTATAAATTTGTTCATCCATTACTACCACAACTCATATCAATCAAGCATTCTTTAGAATTCTTCGTTTCTTTGAAACTTCCAAAGTTCATTAAACTTCCTTACTTTCACGAAAATGTTGATGAAACAAAAAGATCACATGTCTACTTTCATTAGTATAATGATATGTTTTACACATAATTTTTGTTTACTTAAAATATAAATCAATATCCATGTATATTGTTACTAAGTAATTTGTTCATAACTGCAAGAAAATGAGAACATCATTTCATCATTCTTTCATTCAACGCTAGAACCCAACTCTGTAATTGTTCCTATTCTTAAACAACTTGGTTTTGCTAGGGTGGCAAAACTAAGGCATTTTAAGGTGGATCATGCATTGGTAACCGCTTTGGTCGAGAGGTGGAGACCTAAAACTGACACCTTTCATTTTCCAACAGGGGAGTGCACCATAACCCTAGAGGATGTTGCACTTCAAACTGGCCTAAGAATTGATGGACTCTTTGTCATTGTTCCAACAATGTTTGATTGGGAGGACATGTGTGATAATTATCTTGGCATTGTTCCAGTGAAGGGTGAATCACTTGTTGGCTCTATGGTGAAATTGAAATGGCTTAGAGACAACATGTTGTCATTACTAAAACAACCATCATAGGAACAAGTTCACGCCCATGTTAGGGAATATGTATTAGGTTTTATTTGAGGTGTTTTGATACTTGACAAAACAGACAATAAAGTTCATCTTATATCTTTACTAACTAACCTTAGAAGAATTAGAAGATATAGTTGGAGGAGTGCTTGTTTAGCTATGTTGTACAGGGAAATGTGTAGGGCCATGAAAGTTGGGAGAAAAACAATAGGTGGTTGTACATCACTTTTAATGTCTTGGGCATGGTATCGCATGCCATATATTGCGTTAATTCCCGTAATCCACCAACATACCCTTTAATGTGCAGATGAAGCGGGGGTAAAGTCTTAAGCTTCTGAATAAACCTCACAATGATGTTGTGGATATAGAACCATGTTTGACCAAATTCAAGCTAATCAGGTAAATGTTCATAACATAATTTTAAATTATTTATTATTTTCTTTTGTTTTCCATGTTATTTTAATTAACAAAGTTATATTTTTTTTTTTATAGTTTTTATGGCTCCATATCAAGACTTGCAACCCTCAATACCCATGAAAGCTTATAGAGATGTACAACTATGGACTTTATGTACCACCATCCTTTACTTTGCAATTGTTGAATGACATCAAATAGATAGAGTCAAATTGAAGTTTAGGCTCTTCCAAAAAGTTTTTTCTCTACCCAACAATTTGGACGATCTCCATGCAATTGACATGAGAGGAAGATATGATGAAAATTGGATCATAAGACATACATAATGAATAGATGTGTGGAACAATAGACGTGAGCTGACATTAACGAGACATCCAATGTAAGGCCCATTGTGTCACACATGAGAATACATGGAATGGTACATTTCCAATTCCATCCATTTCCTATATGTGCCACCACTACTACAAGATCCAAGGAGGAGGAGTCAACAACTACGGACTACCACATCATTTGATACCGGTACATTTTCCACATGATCATATCACGAGACTACACCATTTACTTCACCAAACATCATGCCTGAAGCAAATATAATTGATAAGATGCATTCGTTTGCAACTACTTCGGAGGACTTTTTTACAAACTTATTTGGAGCTGATTTTGCAACTCGATCTTCATCACAAAGTTACATGCAGTCTCTTTATCAACCGGATTTTGCAAATGAATCTGGTATTCCTCAAATGCTTTCCAACAAATGGCCATTCAAAATGACCCAACTCCTCCACAACTTGATCCTGAATTCCAAGAACAAGAACCACAACGAAAAAATCTACCACGTAACAGACATCACCCTCGTTGTGAAATTGGCCACCATTACAGAGATAGTTAATAATTGTATGTAAAACATTGTGAAGCTTCCTTAAGTTATAATTTATTCAATTCAAAATTTTCAAATAGCAAGTAACCACCTCATTCAAAAACGTTCATTTCCAAAACATGTCTATATATACCTTAGTGTAATTAACTAAAACATCAACTTAGACTTAATTAAATAAATATCTAAACGCAATATTACAACATATTTAAATAAATGTCTAAACATAATATTAAATATTATAATAATTATAATATATTTAAAAATCATTTCAAATTTACTGTTTTCATTTCTTAAATTATCAAAAACCAAAAATAAATTACATTTTCAAAAATTATAACTTGTTAAAATTATAACTTATTATAAATAATTATAACTTATTAAATTTATAACTTATTAAAATTCTAACTTATTATAAATTATAACTAATTCTAACTTATTATAAATTATAACTTATTTTAAATTATAACTTATTATAAATATAAAATTTTCAAATTATAACTTATTTAAATTTTAACTTATTAAAAATTTAACTTATTCAAATTCTAACTTATTAAAATTTTAAATTATTCAAATTATAACTTATTAAAATTCTAACTTTTCAAATTATAACTTATTATAAGTATAAACTTTCTGAAATTATAACTTACTAAAATTTACATAAAAATATAATTTTTCATCTTCTAACATATAAAAATTTACGTAAAAATATAAATTAATAAACATAATAATATTATTTTTATTTATATTCATCTTATTAAAATATTATTTTTCATATTCTAATATTTAACTTATACAAATAATATA